TATTTCACCTGAGTAAGATAGTAACCATTTGTAGATGTAGTTATCTCAAGACTAAGAAAATAACTAAGGGGTCCAAGATCCTTCATCTCGAACTGACGATTGAAAAAATGTTTGAGCTCCTGAATTCTAATTAAATCATCTCCAGTAATGATCATATCATCAACATAAAGTAAAAGGCACGTCATATGGACTAGCAGAGTAGCCAAGTCGAGAGATAGTCTGACTGAATTTGGCAAACCAAGCTCGTGGTGTCTGTTTGAGACCATATAAGGCACATCTAAGTCTGCACACCTTACTAGAAGGATAAGGAGAACCTGGAGGAGGCTGCATATACTTCCTTGAGTAAATCACCATTAAGAAAAGTATTCTTAACATCCATCTAAAAAAGTCCCCAATGACGAGAAGCTATCACGGCAATAAGAGTTTGAACAGAGGAAAGACGTGTAACAGTAACAAATGTTTCCTCAAAATCAATGCCATATTCCTGTGTGAACCCTCTAAAAACAAGTCAAGCTTTATAGCGCTCAACAAACCCATTTGAACGAGTCTTGATCTTGAAAACCCATTTGCATCCTATAGCAGACTTTCCAGGAGGCAGATCAACCAGATCCCATATATGAGTTTTGGACAGTGCATCTAACTCTTCTTACATTGCGTGCTGCTATATGGGGTCAGAGGATGCCTCATGAAAATTTTGAGGTTCATGTAAGGTAGCAAGGGCATGATAACAATGAAAATCACTAAGATGTGCAAGTAGATTTCTTACCCTAGTTGAATAAGGGCAAAAATGTGTGGTAGGCGCACTGTCAAGAACCTCGGACTGAGTAGATGAGTGGGACTCAGCTGGCAAAGGGTTGACTATATCAGATGATTCTGTAGAATCAGGAAAGAGATCTACAGATGTGTCAAATGGGGGAAGAGGAAAAACCTGATCATGAACACCACTAAACTTATGAAGCAGTTTATGTTCCCATAAAATGACATGACAAGAAATTCTGAGGCATTTATCAACAGGATCAGAACATCTATACCCCTTTTGTTCAATTCCATAGCCAAGAAAACAACAAAGTCGAGAATGTGGTTATAACTTATTTTGCTCATGAGGTTGAAGGAGAACAAAACAGGCACACCCAAAGACTTTAAGATGACTATATTCAGGAAGTCTTCCATAGAGACGTTCGGTGTTGATTTTGTAAAAGTGGTGTAGGAACACAATTCATGGTATAAACAGCAGTAAGAGATGATTCACCCTAAAAAGATAAAGGCACAGAAGCAGAAATAATGAGTGAACGAGTTAAATCTAAAATATGTCGAAGTTTACGTTCAGCTCGACCATTCTATTGAGATGTGTTAATACAAGAAGTGTGAAAAATAGTACTATAATGTTGAAGATTTTTTTGAAATTCATGTTGTCGATACTCTTGAGCATTATTAAACCGAAACATTTTGATTGGTTTGGAAAACTGAGTAGCAATCATTTGAGTAAAATCATAAAATATTTTAAGTAATTTAGAACGATTTTTCATTAAAAAAAAATCCATTTGAATCGTGAAAAATCATCAACAAAAACAACAAAATATCGTGATTCTCCCATAGTAAATATAGTCGAAGGTCCCCAAACATCAGAATGAATAAGATCAAATGGAGCAGAAGCAAAAGACTCACTTTTATTAAATGGTAAGGCAGGCTATTTTCCAAATTGATATGAAATACAATCAAAAGACACGAGTTTAACCTAACCTAACAGACCCGTAGATGTAAGGGTTTTGACATGAGATAATGACGCATAACCCAAACGAGAATGCCATAACTCAAGTGTAGGAGAGGTGGATTGTGTAGAGGCAGCAGAAATAGTAGTAGTAGGTAGATGTAATAAAGATAGTTCAAACAGTCGTCCTATCTTACAACCTGTCCTAATGATCTATCCTGTCCGAGGATCCTATACAACACAACCATTAAAAGAAAATGTTATTGTCAATCCCAACTCAGTTAGTTGTCAAAATGATAAAAGATTAAGGGAAAGATTTGGAATAAGATAAATAAAGGGCACAGATATCTGAGATTGAGAAATAGTTCATATGTGACTAATAGCCATAGATGAATCATTGGCTATGTGTATGACAGGAGAGTGAGAAGTAGGAGTCTGGAATGTGAGTAAGGTGAGATCAAGTGTCATGTGATTGCAGCAAGCAGAGTCAAAATACCAAGAACCATGTTTACCTATTGTAGTAGAAAGAGCAGTGAAAGATGCACCTTGATAATGAGATAAAACTTGGTTGAGAACTACCTCAAAGTCAGTTGTAGAAAAAACAGATAAGGCAGAAGTAGATTCGCCAAAAGAGTTATTGACTAGTGTTGAAGATGGTAGTGACAAATATTCTATGTTAGCCATAGCTATAGTGGAGAGTCAAGCACGAGTACGATAAAAGTCAATGCTATGCACTGGAAGTTGACAGAAAATGCAATAAAGACCTGAATGGTCCTTTTTGTTATTAGATTGTTGAGAGCTAAATCAATTGTTATTGTTACGTCCTTTGGAGCCAGATTGATTACTATTGTTGTGTCTATTGGAGCTAGACTGATTGGTATTGTTGCGTTCATTTTGTCGAAAAATGAAACGGGGCGATCTGGTGCTGACTGAGATAGCACTGACTAAGGAGCAGAAGATGGTATGGCTAAAAACAATTATAGGATTTAAGAACAACAAGTCTGCAAGCGTGTCTCTTCTCGAACAAGTTCATTGAGAGCTTGATCAAGTGATGGAAGAGGTGAGCAATGGAGAAGCTGACTGCATACTAGTTCAAAATCATCATGAAGACTCATCAGAAACTGATAAAGTCGAATCTGGTTGCGATACTCGATAAATTTCTTTGCTTCAGAAGAATGTTTCCATGATGGTTCGGAAAGAGCTAATTAATCCCATAAGTATTTCATCTAAGAGAAGAATTCATTAATTCGCTCACCTGATTCTTATTTAAGAGTAGAAAGTTGAACCATTAATTAAAATTGGGAGCCTCATTAGAACTAGAGTAGTGAGAGGCAAGCATATCCCAGATCTCCTTGGCTGTCTCGTAACTCCCAAATTTCATACCAATGGAAGAATTGGATATGTTGCATAACCATGTGATGATCTTGTGATTGTTACTATCCCAGTCTTCAACACGTGTTGCATAGGTATCTGATGTCTCTTCTTTAGCTTGAGTAGGTTCTGTACGATCTCCAGTGACATAGGACTATAGCTTGTGACCTTTCAGAAAGCTGCACATAGATTGACTCCAAAAGAAATAATTGTCACCATTAAAAATAACTAAAATATGGTGAGTTACCTCGTTTTGGGCCATTTAGAAATCCCAAATGCAAAAACAGATTGCGAATTTGGAATCAGCGTGAAAAACTGGGCTGAATAGGTGTTGTCAAAAAAAAAAAAATCTGCGTGCCCGTGGATCTGACGTGGCTGGGCGCGTGGAGGCGCTTGGTTGACCGAAAAAGTTAGCTAATCCATCTGCCCGCATGTGGGAGCATGTGTGTGGTGTTTTCTGGCTATTTTTGGCGGCGTCGGGATGATTTTGAGTGTAATCTTTCACTAGTATGCTCAGAATTGCGAAAGAACTTGCAGAAACTCAAGTTCGAACCCCTAAAAGGATGTATTCTTGATGAACTTATTGGAAGCCATCAGAGAAGAAAAAAAAAATTAAAATAAAGTAAACAGAGAACTTGGCTCTGATACCATGTTAAATACAAAAGAGAGAACTATGTACTGTATATTGATGTGTAATAAGATTTATACAAGAGGAGTTTATATAGGAAGGGTTATGTGTGATGAACAAGTAAATCCTTTATGTATATGGTAACTATATATATGATAATCCTAGACAAGGTTAGACTCCTATATATGGTAATCCTATATAAGGTTAGAATATATTATATAATATAGTGATAATATATTATAATATATTCTAACAAGAACAAAGGTTGAGATATTTATGAAGATAAGAACAAAAGAAGTCATGAAGATAAGAACAAAGGTTGTGATCAATCATAGAAGAGCTGGACCGATTAAAGCTGATGGGAGATATTTATTTGGATAAGGACAAGGCCTTCGATCGATCATAGCAGCTAGCTGGATCGATCATAGCATGATCGATCATACATAAGTTGGATCGATTGATGAGGAAAATTTTCATCTTTTGCTTCCATTTTGCTCCATCTTCCCACCAAAACTTTGATTGACCTTCCCGAGGCTCTAATTTAACTGAGTTAGCTCATTTTAACCTTATGCACCTGAAAAGGGGAAAAACGTAAAATAAGATTAAAACAAGAAAATAAGATAGAATAAAGTCCTAATATACTTAAGATCAAGGGTTCAAATGTGCATATTTCAGCACTTAACATATCTCTAAACCATATGGTTTTCCATCGGTGAAGAAACTATCAGCACATGCAAAAGGACAAAAAAACGTGTAAGGCGCGTGATGGTAAAATGGGAATTTTAATTTATTCAGTACACGACATCAGCAAAATTCGTCTTTGACTCACATTGACCGTAACAGAAGGGAGGTCCGTGTAGGATATTTTCATTTTTAGGGGAGGTCCGAGTAAATTCTTAAACCACAGCGGAGGTTCGTGTAATTATGACAAACCATAGGGGAGGTTTGTGTAAATTACCCCAATATAAACTATATAAAATATTAATAAACCCATTTATAATTTTTTTTTTAACTACGGAATATTACATTATCACTTAAAAATTTCAGCATTTAAAATTCAACTCTTAAAATGTTTACTTAATTTTTAATTTTATGGAACATGACCTATCTAAATCCCAAAAAAAAAATAATAAATAAAAATAAAAATAAAAATTAGTAGATTTTATGTCTTAGCCATCAGGGTTTAGTTGAAGAGTTGGAGTTCAAGTCCTATAGCCCAAGCCCACCTTGGTCCAGATTGAGTCAGATTAAACACCAGATATACGTGGACTCAAGATCCGAAAGAGTGTGAGAGGGGCTCCAACCTTGGTCCGGAAACTACTTCCCAAACAACTTGATTCTTCAAAAACCATATACGGAGTACTATTAAAATACTGAATTTCTCCCAAATTCCTAATCTATAGATTTCTCGTTCCTTTTTCTCCGTTTCTGCAAAATTAGGGTTTCTCTATCTTTGCAAATCTAGGGTTACACTATCAACCCGACCATCAAAGGTTTCGCTGTATATTTTCCGTAATCTAATTTGGTTTTGGTGAAATCCCTATCAAGGTTTCGTCAATGGCGGAGCACTTAGCTTCGATCTTCGGCACCGAAAAGGATCGCGTGAACTGCCCCTTCTATTTCAAGATCGGAGCTTGTCGCCATGGCGATCGATGCTCTCGTCTCCACAATCGCCCCACCATCTCTCCGACTCTGCTCCTCTCCAACATGTACCAGCGTCCCGACATGATCACTCCCGGCGTCGACCCTCAAGGCCAACCCATTGACCCCAGGAAGATTCAAGAACACTTTGAAGACTTCTACGAGGACATCTTCGAAGAACTCGGAAAGTTCGGCGAGATCGAGAATCTCAATATCTGTGACAACCTCGCTGACCACATGATCGGCAATGTCTATGTACAGTTCAAGGAGGAAGATCAGGCTGCTGCAGCTTTGCAGGCTTTGCAAGGCCGGTTCTACTCCGGACGACCCATCATTGCTGATTTCTCGCCCGTCACGGATTTCCGCGAAGCCACCTGCCGTCAGTATGAGGAGGACAACTGCAACCGTGGTGGGTACTGTAATTTTATGCACGTGAAGCTGATTGGGAGGGATTTGAGGAGGAAGCTCTTCGGGAGGTACCGCCGCAGCTTTAGGGGAAGCCGAAGCCGGAGCAGGAGCAGGAGTGTGAGTCCTGCACACCACCGGAAGGATTACGACAGGCGTGGTGGTGGTGGAGGTGGAGAGTATCGGGACCGTATGGAATTTTACCGTGGCGGTGGTGGTGGTGGTGGCGGCGGCGGACGCCGGAGTGGGGACAGGCATGGGAGGTATGACAATGATGGCGGTGGTCGGAGGAGACAGGGGAGTCCGAGGCGGAACAGAAGTCCAATAAGGGAAGGTAGTGAGGAGCGCAGAGCCAGGATTGAGCAGTGGAACCGTGAGAGGGAGGAGAGGCTGTGATGTGATGTGACTTTTTTTATTTATTGTTCTTGTCCCTCGACCAGGAGTGGAGCTGGCTTTGGCATTTTTCTCTTGTTGGTAATCATTCTAAGCTCAGATGCTATATTTATGCTTCTTGAAACTGTAGAATGGTGTTTATTTCTTTGGATTATGGGTTTCAGCTGGCGCCAGCTTCCTTGTGTTGATAAGGTTAGGAGTTTAGAACTGGGGATTAGTTTTCAGTCCATGCTAAAAGAGCTCAAGTTGCCACGTTCCTGCAATTATGTAGTGTGTGTATGTGGTTTTTTTTTTTTTATTGTTTTCTACCTTATGTCTGTATGTGCCCTTTTTCCTTTTTTCCCTAAAGGTGTGTGCTTATGTGGAAAACTTCTTTCTATTGTTTTCTTTTAAGCTTTCTATATGGCGAGTCTGTGAATCTTCTTAGGGCAAGGTTTTACTACTTGTTCAAATATCATCACATATTTAGGTAACCTGAGTACTTGTAAGTAGCACCAATACTTCTCAGGCTTCCTAATACATTAACAAATACATATACATATATATTTATATACATATACATATATATTTATATACATATATATATATAAAGAAAAAGGACCTAATGAGATATTTTTTTTATAATAATATAATAGGCTGAAAAGTTGAAGTGATAGAAGCCGAATAAATTGAGGGTGTCAGCCTGTTAATGATTCACTGTCATTGCTTTTATTTGGATACTTTTATTTATTTTGTTGCTTATTTTGAGGTAAAAATGTGTTTGTAATTTCACTGATGGTGTCTGCTTGGATATTTTAAAATACCACACATTGTTTAAAGCTCAAACAATTAAGTGGATAAATCACTCAAGTCATTGGGACTTTATTGTGGCTTACAAATATGACATAGAAATATTAGATGCTCTTACCTTTTCACTATTACCTATGCAATAATAGTTCTTTCTCTACAAAACTCATTTGCCAAATGATAAAAAGAAGCAACATTGTCTAAGTTGCTCAACCTTTTAAAATGATTTACCATTACGTTTTTTGGTCTCTCTGGAGCTTCATACCTTTTCTTTTTGTGTTTGTTGGGCTCAGCTTAGCCAGAATGGCAATCCAAACTAACCTCAAGCCTCGTAAAACTTCTTTCCGGAAGCCTGTAAAATGTCCAATGAGCTTAAAAGCCCTGCTCAAGCCAGAGTGGTGATTTGGGTTTTCAAGCTGGAGTTGTGATAAGAATTTGATGTCTCAATTCCTAGTTCTTACGTAACTGGTTGACATGTTTTTGGATATAGAATTTAATTAATCTATGTTCTGATTTCTGGAATTTTACAAAAAAAATGAGCTTGTTAGGATTATGGATCATGTGTTTGCAATTTCTTACTCAAAACTTGGGTTGTAGTGGTTGTCAAAGTGTCATGAGTTGTTCATCTACAACCACAGAAGATGAAGCTATGAGAATCAGCGAAGAACTCGGCAAAAAATCTCTCAAGATTTGCCATATATCTAGGGTAAAGGAAAATGAGACCATGGAGCTTGACCTTGATTTGATTTTTAAGTGGCCCATGAGTAAGTTTCAAAAAATTTCTTCAATTTTAAGGTTTCGAATTAAAAGTTTTCTCAAAGGATTTTGAAATTGGGATTTTTCAAAAAAACAAAATAGCTCGATTGATCATGGGAATACGAGTGTGCCTCAATTGATTGTTGGATCAATCAACATGTTCCCAAAACTCTTTTCAAAACCAATATGCTTCTACGGATGACTTAATTGATCGAAGCTTGTCCAGTAGGTGTGGGTCAAAGGTTCAATCGGTCATCAATAGTTTTTGAAACTCTCTCAAATTAGATCTCTATTTAACTTAACATACTACATGGCTTTCTTATATTGGCTATAAATATGGGGTTATGGTCAGTGTTTCTTTTCTTTTCTGATAAGTAGTTATTGTTTCTCAATCTAGGGTTTCTCATAGAGATATCAATATGTGATTGGGGCATTCAAAGCGAGGAGTTATTAAGAGGACACAAAGAGTAGACCAACTGATCAGAGTTTAAGCATAAGGATTGAACAAATTATGGAGAAACAGATTGTGTGAGGGGTGAGTCTGTTGACAGATCAACTATAGAGGGATTTGGGGAGATCTAGCATCTGGGTTGGGAGGGGCTAAGTGATTCTAGGGTGAATCTGGCAACTTAGTTGTAAGCTTCTTTGTCTTATAGTGGATTGGTTATGGCTGGACGAGGTCCGATAGTTTTTCCCTATTTAGAGTTTTCCATGTAAAAATCTAGTGTCTGTGCTCTATTTATTTTCTGTTCTCTGTGTTGCGTAACCACGATTATGGCACAATTCAAACTAATTTACTAAATTCAGTAAGGTTTACAAAAATATCATAATATGAAAAGTTAGTTGCAAATTGTTATTCATAAGACCTATTCACCTACTAGGCCCAATTAAACGTTTGTACTCTAATTTATCAGACCCTTTGGTAACAGTCCTCATATTTCATAACTGCTTCAAAGCATATCGATTGTAGATTTCATAGAGCTTAAGGTATATGATGCAAAAGCTCTTCGAATGATGCCTAAAATTCATCTGGTGGAGTATTAGTAAACAAGCATATATTTCAAATTCTATTTAAATAGTAAATTTGGTTAGATATAGAATGACCCCTTTACTTTGTCCTCTTTTAATGTGGCTGTGTTTTGTATATCTGGTATTTTATTTAGGCACTAGAAAAGGTTCTTGGGGGATTTGATGCTTTGATTTTTTTTTTGCTTTCCTCTTGTTGGGCAAGTAAGCAAACACATGCACAGCACAACATAGTCACCTACTATGCGCCCAATGGAGGCTTTTATTTTTTATTATAAGTAAAATATATTCAAAAGATGCATATGCGGGGGAATGCCCTTATACAACTAAAGCAAGACAAATGTCTATCAAACTCAAAACATCCACAAACTCAACTGTATCCTTCATGGATTTATACCCTTTATCCCAAAAGAATTACATGGTCAAAATAGAATGTTAAGATACCCCAATAGGAACCTCCTCCCCTTCGAAGAATCTCCTATTTCTCTCCCTCAACAACCCCACCATAAACAAAGGGGAGAAGCTCTCCAAGCATATCAGGCATGATCACCCTGTATACATCCTTTCCAAGCCTCGAGCATGCTCCTCGTGGAATCTGGTTGCACCCAATGAACACCGAGCATGGAAAAACTCATAGACCAAACATCTCTAGCCACCGGACGATGTAAAGATAAGATGGTCTACAGACTCTGCATCTCTCTTGCACATGCAAACACCAATTCAAATACCATAAGGCGCCTATTTCGAAGGTTATCAAGTGTCAAAATCTTGTCCCAAGCCGCAATCCAACTGAAGAAAGCCATCTTAAGAGGTGCTTTAGTGCGCCCATGGCTTCAGTTCAATGGGGACTTAAACCCTCAAACCTCAGTCTTCCATATAAGAAGGAAAAGGAGATACCTCTTCAGCCAAAGGCTTGGTGGTATGATATTATGAATGTTGCTTAGGAAGATCCATGGTCTACCAAATCCCCCAGAACGAAGTGGTATATTATAATATTACTGGATGTTGATTTATGTGGTAACATGGGGGTATACCTTGTACAAAATAGAGCATTTCAGTTATACCTTATTTATAGAGGCCGCATGCATATATCATCTCAAAGAAGATACTTGTGGCATAGTTATTAGGGGGATTCGAACACATTCGCAAGGAGTAGAGATTCAACTGACATTGCGTATATGACCCTTGTTTTTAGTTGTCACCTAGACACCTACACTTCAAAGGTATGGGTGTTGAGTGTGGATGAGTGTAGAATTTATCAAATTCCCAAAGTCTAGATAGTGATATTGCTGTGTATTTGTAATTTCAGTATTCATTCTATTTTTAGGGTAAAATTTTACTTATACATAATACATATTATCATATTGGACAAATACTTAATTGAAACATAATGTAACAAAAGGGAACATGGTAAAATGGTTTTTGTATGATTCTTTGTTCTTTGGATATAATTTTAAGAGCATGTCAACTGGACATGTATAGTCATATGACTCATAGCTACTTGTTACGTGCCCCATGCTGGCTTTTTGTGCTGGTTTTTTTGTGCATTTAAAAGAGTATATAATGTAAGTTGCCACTTGAAACTACAAAATTGGCAGCATTCGCGTAGTACATTTCGTATTTACGAAAAATGTTTCCATGTGGGATGGTTGTTAGTTGGCATTTGGAGTACTTATATTCTTCAGAAACTCATTCTACCTGGTATTTTGATATGAAACAACACGTGTTGATAATTAATGCTGTTGCCTAGTGGTAGAGTAATTTAGATCTCTGATTGACCTTTGAATAGTTATTAGTAATGTTTGAAAGGCTACAAAGTACTTTTAAATTGTTATATTTCAGAAGAAGGAAAAGTTTCATTTGATTTTCCTGTTACTGGCTGATAAAAGAAGTGGTTCAAACATTGCACAATAGTTCGCTAACTTTTTTATGATTAAACAGAATAGAACTTTTTAGTTTTATTTACAAAAAAAATAAACACTGACACAGTTTGAAGAACTGTTGGAATTTTTTTTTTTCCCTTTTTTTTCCCCTCTATCTTGTATCTGTCCCTTCTCAATTATGCTTTTCATGGTTATTTCCTCAAAGTTCCATATTAAACATTTAGTTATGTGTTCACTTTACATTATTAAATATATGCACTGGTAAAGATGATACGTATTACAAATGTTGCCACCTTAGGCTGTATAGTCATTGCCTACTTTACGCATTTAACTTCATTTTAACTGGGAGGTTTACATGCTGGACTGTAGTTTTTATTTCTATTCTTTTTTCTTTTCCTTGGCAAGAAACTCACACATGCATTTGCCCTCTGGGGACTTGAGCCCTCACCTCTCACTTTGGGAGGTAAAGGAGATGGTGATACCACTGGGTTACAACCCTTGGAGGTCATTCATATTCTAGTTCGTGACCTATATGATTCCCTTTTCTATTTCTGTTGTGTTTCATGTCTACTGGTGGTATTAATGCTACACTCTTTTTAAAAAATATCTTTGAGCCACCTTGCGTACTTATCTATACTTATGTGCTGTGATTGGATGGCACTAATAACTGCGGAGATATGGAGCCTAATTTTATATTCTAGCATGCATGTGCAGAACTTGATATGTATTAGTTTTAGTTTTCAAGTGCTTAAGTTAAGGTAGGCATCTCTTAGCTTGTCATCTCAAGCTTTGATTAGCACAAATATGCTTGATGTGTGGTTATATCTAATGTAACATATGATGAGATCAGTAAATATAGAATAATATAAACAATAAAGCCTTCTAGTTTTATGGACAGGATGCGTATTTGTTCCTTGTATCCCGCATGCATAGATTCATGAGGCGAGTTT